AGATCACACAGTATTTGTCTTTGTGTCTCACTAATTTCACTTAGCTTAGTGCCCTCAAGGTCCATCCATATTGTTTCAAATAGCAGTATTTCCTTCTTTTTTTATGGCTGGATAATATCCCTATGGGGATTGTGTGGGAGAGAGAGAGAGAGTGTGTGTGTATATATCACATTTTCTTTATCCATTCTGAAGTCTATCCATTCTGTCTATCAATTAGGTTGTTTCCATGTCTTGAAGCGATTGTAAAGAATGCTTCAGTGAACATAGGGTTGCAATATCTCTTTGAGTTAATGTTTTTGTCCCCTTCAGATAAATACCCAGAAGTAGAAATGCTGGATCATACGGTAACACGAATTTACATTATTCCAACCAACAGTGCATAAGGATACCCTTTTCTCCATGTCTTTGCCAACATTTATTTCTTATCTTTTTGATAATAGCTATTCTAACAGTATGAGGTGATATCTCATTGTCATTTTGATTTGCATTCTCCTAATGATTAGTGATGTTGAGCACCTTTTCATGTACCTGTTGGCTGCCTGTTGTCATCTTTGGAAAAAAGACCTATTTAGATCCTCTGCCCATTTTTTAATTGGATTGTTTGGATTTTTGTTTTTTATTTTGCTACTGAGTTGTATGAGTTCTTTATACATTTTGGGATGTTAACCCCTAATCAGATACATGACTTCCAAATATTTTCTCCCATTCCTTAGGTTGCCTTTTCATTTAGTTGATTGTTTCCTTTGCTGTACAGAAGTTTTTTAATTTGAAGTGTCACTTGTTTTATTATTGCTTTTTTGGCTTTTGCCTTTGGTATAAAATCCAAAAAATCATCACCAATACCAATGTCAAGGACTTACCTCCTTCATTTCCCTCTAAGAGTTTTCAGGTTTCAAGTTTTACCTTCAGTCTTTTATCCAAACCGAGGTGATGTTTGTGTATGTTGTAAAATAGTGATCTACTTTCATTCTTTTGTATATAGCTGTCTAGTTTTCCCAGCACCATTTATTGAAGAGACTGTCTTTCTTCATTGTATACTCTTGGCTCTTTTACCATGAATTAATTGACCATGTGTGTGTGGATTTATTTCTGGGCTCTCTTTTCTGTTCCATTCATCTATATGTTTGTTTTTATGTCAGTACCATACTGTTTTGATTTCTCTCTTTGTAATATAGTTTGAAATCAGGAAGTGTGATACCCCTAGTCTTGTTATTTTACTCAAGATTGCTTTGGCTGTTTAGGGTCTTTTGTGGTACCATAGAAATTTTAGAGCTATTCTCTTTTTGTGAAGATGTACCTTTTATTGTTTTTATTTTAATAAATGTACTTACCTTCTCTCAGTAGAAAAGATTTCATTTTCACAAACTTAATTTATTAAAATTCAGTTCAGTAAATCCACTTTGATTTAGTTTATTTACTTTGATATTTTGAAGATATTGTCAATCTAGAAATGTTTTTCCTGGGGTGGGGGAGGAAATGTATATTTTGCTTACCAAATACCTATGCTTGAATAAAATAAATGGATCTGATTATGAGCAAATAAAATTCAGAAATAAGTTTAGTCCTTAGTTTTAAACCTCAGGAAGAAAACCTCTCCTCTGTTTCTACTCAGTCATCTATTTTATAGTTCTCATAGAAGTAGAATAGGAATTTCATCTATTATACAGACATCTTACTGATTAAAATGAGGAATACTGTCAATATGATTCTGCCTGCTATTAAAGCCAAAATACAAACCTTTAAATACTGTCTGAACCATTAAGATTAAAACCAATCAGTTACTTAATAATTATTATAAACAGTAGCAATTATTACCTTTGTGTTGTTCAGTACTCTGCTGAACACTGAAATTTAAGATAGCCTTAAAGAGCTAGCTCGGAAATTAAATTAATACACATCAAAATATGAATTCAAGGAAGTATAATTACACTTCTTAATTATTGGTACAGACTATATGGGTTGTATTGACTCAGGAGGTCGGTACAGCTTAAAGAAAGATGTTATAGTGAATATGGAGTAAATTTTTTAATGAATTAAATATATAAGCCTGAAATAGATGAAAGAAGAAATTACTGTCACATTGTGGAGAGAAGGAACCCTAAAATTAATTTATTCTAACCTTCTTATTTTAGAATTGTCAAAAGCAAAATTCACAAATTTACTTCAAAAAATGTATGTTTCAGAGTAATTCAGTGAGTGGTAAATAGTGAAGTGGGGTTATAGATGAAATGGTATTTGTCAAGGGTTAATAACTGTGGAAGGCCAGGTGATGGATATATGGGGTATGTTCATTATGCTGTTACTTCCACTTTTACATATGTTTAAAATTTTCCATAATTTGAAGTATATAAAATAGGAGGAAAAGTAAAAAAATGATTTTCAAACAAAATTCAGAGATATTAAGTGGTTTTCCCAAGATACATTGATATTCTTGGTAAGCCTTGAATTTTAGGAAGGAGTTAAAAGAGGGCAGTCCAGTCAAAGAGGATCATGTGAGCGAAGGCACCAGGTACCATATAATTTTTATTGTGATGATGGGAAAAGCCATGTGGTTCATTTGTACAAGAGAGAAAAAAAGTAAGTCATGAAAAAATATTCCTGCATCGGTAATAACTATCTGAAATGCTGTCTTCCTAATAGTACGTGGCCTGTTCCTGTCTTAGCAATGAACTGTTTGGAAAAGTAAAAAACAGGCGGATTTCTTATCTCATAGGAACTGTAGTACTGCATTCCATTTCATAAAATGCAATTTGTTGCTCTTTATGAAGACATTTATTTTAAGGTTTTATATATTTATATATTCCAGATATACATATTGTGCAAGTGTCTTCCTCATTGTGAATTTGCACAATTTCCCAAAATAGAAACCTTTAAAATTAGCTTCCCCTTCCTGTGACTGAATTTCCTTGTCAACTCATTTTGTTCTTTATTAAATCTATTAAACCATTCTTAGGACTGCTTACCAGCAGGAATTTATTTGAGGAAAGACACTGGCTAATCTTTGCTGTTCCTACTATACGAAAATGAACTTAAATTAGAGGATGCACTATATCTGCAATGCATGATAAATACAAGATGGATAGAGAATCTGTTCAGTGGTGTCAGCTACAAAAGCAAACATGATAAATGTTAATGCAGTTTTGAGCCCTGGGATAAGCTATTCAATGCACAAGCATAGCTGAATCTCTTTGCTGTGTTGTTATTCATGGCAGCCAAATAAATGTCAATAATAAAAGAGAATTAAAGATTTTCATTTCCCAGAGGCAATCCTCTAATACGGCTTGATCTTTCATTTCATTTGTAATTCGTTCTCATGTCAGGATGCAATCATTCGCCAGGCTCTGGGTGTCATGTTAAGTCATTTAATAATGATTAAGAACATAAAAATGCTTGGCCTGTGGGGCAATTCACAGAAGAGATGCCAATTTGTTATTGTTTTTCCTCCTTTCCTCTTGAATATGGATCAGCTTTTTCCCACCTCCTAACATTAAAATACTAATGGAAGATGGGGAAGGAAAGTGTCCCTTAATTCACCATAAGTGACATTCCAGAATGGCACAAGGCAGTGCTAGCACACTTATTAAAACACTAATTAGGAATCATTGTTCCTTAAACCTCACACTGTAGAGTATTTTTTAATGATCACTGCTAAGTTGGTGGCATTTAGTGATAATATAACAAAATCAGTTTCTTTGGAATTTAATTCCAGAGACCTTTCTCCTTTTGAGATATGGAGTCTATAAACCACTTTTTCTTATTTTGTAGATAGAATTCTTTGAATTCCTCTTCTCTCAATTGCTTGTGAATCTAAAGCCTTTTCCCTGTTTTTTTTTTTTTTTTTTGTCACCTCTGTTTCATTTGGGTATCCATCCTCTATCCCTACAACCCAGAGGTTTTGCAGAGATTTTGTCACATCCAATCATTGTTTCATTGATTGCAGGCTAATTGAGTTTTGAGCTTTTTGAGGGGTGAGGGGTTGGAGGGCGGACTGGGAAGTAATAGGAGTAAGAGGCAAGGGCTGAAGGGCAGGGAAGAAAAGATGATTCTATCCGTTTTGATCCTTTAACTAAATGTTGAATAAACCTTTTGGTAGCATGGGAGTCAGGTTAGGGAAATCATTTCTGTGTCTGTAAACTTTAGAAAAACTGAGACTAAAGATTACCTACCAGCAGCAGCTGCTAATGAGGTCTTCATTTATTAACATCTTAACTGTATTAAGGATTGTAGTAAAAAAAATAAAGATTTTATACATATACATGTATAAATATATACATACATGCACATAAATACATACACATATATATGTCTTTATAGAAAGTTTAAATTTCTTCAAATTTCTGTACTAAACACATGGCTAAAAATTGGAAGAAGCAATGGGACCTTTGTTCTAAATTGAAAGTAATGCATTTTTACACAGTGGTTCTTACGAGACAATAAATTAGGTCCACTGAAGTTGTAGACTCTTCTGAGTACTTTGAGAATGCTTTCTGGGTTGTTTGAATTGTAATTTTGCCCCAGTGGGAAAAACAGACTAGGTCAGAGATTTTCAGCTGAAAGACTGGGGCTATCATATCAGAATCACCAAATGGGCTTTTGGTAAATACAACCCTGCCTTAATAAAAACACCTTCCCCTCAGTCTGATACATCCCTATGAGGAGTTAGAGTATACATCCTCAAAAAGATGTATGAGAATGAGGGTGATGGGGTCTGGGGGAAGGAGAGTGCAGACTTGTCTATTTGTTGAAAAAGCTCCTTCAGGTGATACAGCAATGCTGTCTATCCTTCACCTCTCACTTTGAGAACCAT